GGTTGCTCCACAGCTTTCTGGGCAACCTGTTCCAATGCTTGACCCTTTTCACAGTTAAAAAAATAAAATTCTTGTGTTCAAAGGGAAATTCATGCATTTCAGTTGGTGCCCACTGCCTCTTGCCCAGTCAGCTGAGCATTAGTAAGAAGAGTCTGGCTCCCCGCTCTTCAAGGGTCAGATCCCCTTGAGCCTTCTCTTTTCCTGGCTGAAGAGATCTTCCTCAACTCTCTCCATATAAAAAATACTCTAGTCCTTTAATCATTTTTGTAGCCCTGTATCACACTTCCTCCAGTAAGCCTGCAGTGCTCTTGTTCTGGAGAGCCCAGAACTTTACACAGTACTCCAGGTATGTCCTTGCCACTGCTGAGTAGAGGGGAAAGATCACCTCCCTCTACCTACTGGCAGCACTTTGCCTAATACAACCCAGGATGCTAGCAGCCTTTTTTGAAGAAACAGTGTATTGCTGCCTTGTGACAGCTTGTTCACTGGAAACCAAATGGCCTTCTCTAAAGAGCTGTTTTCCAGCTGGGTGTTCCCCTACACATTACTGGTGCATGGGGTTATTTATGCCTGTGTGCACAGATCTTTGCACTTCTCGTTGCTGAATTTCCTAAGGTTCCAATTTGCCTATTTCTTCATTTTATCAAGGTCTCTCTGGATGGCAGCATGTCGTGGTTTAGGGCTGGGCTGGCCACTAAATCCTGGACAGACACTCTCTATTAACCCCTCTCCCCTCCCCAGAAGGGAAGAGAAAAGAGAATAAGGGAGAGAGAGACTTTACGGGTTGGAAAATAAACTAACAGATTTAATGAAACAATAATACTAATACTACAGGATAATATAGTAAATAGGAAAATAATGAAATATATACAAATATGTACAAATATATACAAAACCAATATAAAATCCTTCCCCACCCTCCCCCCAATGACGAATACATCACCAGAGGCTCTGCAGAGCCGGGCACTGGAAAAGTCCCAGACCAAACTCAGCAGCAGGTGGGAGCAGGATGGAGAACACACAAATCAGGATCAGTGGCAGATGAACTAGCAGGGTTCCACTCAGGCCTCAGCCTCTGCAGGATCGAGATGGACAGAAGGGTCCGAGATGGAAGGGCTCCAAGATGGAAGAAGGATGAAAAGGATCAAGACCCTCCTGATCTCTTGGTTTTTATACCGCGTATGACGTATGTGGGATGGAATACCTCGTTGGTCAGTTTTGGGTCTGCTTCCCCTCCCATAGGCGCAGACACAGCAACCATGATGAGACAACTGACCTTGAGCATATCTTCTAGCAGTGCTGTTTGGGAAAAACATGCTGCCAGTTTTCAGCAAGTTCAGCCACTTGAAACAGAGTGAGCTGAAAAGTAAAATCACTAAATAGAAAAAATTATTTCTGTTTAGCTCAAACCAGGACACAGCATCGTGTGGTTGACCAACCACTCCTCCAGAGCACAATCTATCCAATCATTCAGGTCATTAATTGAGAGGCTGAACTTGATTGGCCCCAGTATTGATCTGCAGGGTACAGCACAAGTGCCTTGACTCTCTGGGCCCAGTCATTTAGGCAGTTTCTTAATTCACCCTGCTGCCCAAATACCTAACACACACTTGCTCAGCTTGTCTGTGAAGTTTACCTTTACCTAGTAAAACCTTTGACACAACAACTACTGCTTTCTGTCATCTATTGCTGTATCTTACATTGCTACGACACACGGTAAATGGGTTAATTTGCCCAGTTTTAAATATTTGGTCTCTCTTCTAATCATTGTTCTGCTTCTCATAAACAGTCATAAGCTAGATTATAAATTGCAACAGAACTGTAATTTTATGCCTTAACAGTACTTCCTTCCTTCTCCAACCAAGTAACCACTTCAGTGCAACTAAGACTGCTGATAACTTCCTCAGAAGAGGAAGCTCCTGTTGCTCTGTCTCACAGGTTTTGTAATCTGCAAACTCACATTAAGCAGAAGAAACTTAAAACTATGATCTCACAGCCTAATACAGAACAAGAAAAGCAAGTTTACCAGTTTAGCTACCATATTGCATGTCTTTATTATGATTAAGTGATTCGCTATACACCACACAAACTATGCCAGATGTGAAAGCTGAATTTGAAGTTTTAGGCCATATTGTCAAACTTTTTGGAAAAGCAGTATTTAGTTCCTTCAAGGGAAGTTACCCACCTTGCATGAGTCCTCTTACCAGGAAACTGTGTGTAGTGGTCTTCCCCCCCACCCCTCCCTTCTTTTCTGGCTCAACTTTGTTCCTGGTTTCTTCACCTCCCCTCTGCCTCCCCTTTGCCCAGCAGAAGAGGGGGAGAAGGAATGGAAATGGGAGTTGCAGTCAGTTCATCTCAGGCAGTCTCTGCCACTGGCACTCTTAGCACAAGAGACAAGTCCTCCATGTGGAAACAAAGTCCAAATGTGGGTCTGCCCACAACTTCAGTTCCCTCACACAAACTGCTCCCAGTCTGCCTGGAGTCACAGCCTCTTCAGAGGCAGCCACCTGCTCATGTAGATCTGCTCCACTGGTAAAGCACCTCCATGGACTACAGGCAGGTCAATCTGCACTCTAATCACAGTATGCAGGGGGAACCTTGGCTCCATGCACCTCCTCCTCACTCCTGTGCTTTCTTCCTTCACCAACTTTGGTGTCTGCACAGTTGTTCTCCTCACATCCTCCTCCTTTTCTCCATTGTAGGTCCCTTCTGATGGTTCTCAGGAGTTCTTGCCTCTCTCTTTCAGGCTGGAGTTACAGCAAGGCTTAAGCCTAAGTCGGGGACAGACCGGGCTGGCCCAGCCCAGCCAGGCAGGGACAGCACCACCTGCACTTGGGGCTACAGTGGTCAAGGCCAGTGCAAGATGAAGCAAGCAGGATGTGCACCCCCCTTAAATACATGAATTCACAGGGGTACGATTGACTCTCCCCGTCAGAGGGGGGTCTGACATTTTTGAGCCACGGGAGCTTTTCTAGGAGCTTCCTACAGGGCTATCTCCATAGCCCCACAATCAAAAAACAAACCAAAACCCCTCCCAGAAAACCCAATACACTATGTGATCAGGAGACATTCAACTAAATAAAGCAAGCATACATTCTCTGCTTCAAAAATCATGAAGTGTTATGCTTTCAGGCAGTATAGTCTATTTTGCTTTATTTCCTGATTATTCTTTTTAAATAGTTACAGAGGATTCTCTTCTTGAGTTGTATACTTAACCCCTACCGAGTTTAACAACTGCTTTTAAAAAATTAGATGAAACATAACCCATATCCCACAATCCTTACTTGTAGCACATATTTCAAAATCTTGGTAAAGTCAATGAGTGAAGTCCCTGTAAACAAGATAAAAAAGGGCACACACTGCTGCGTAAGTGACATGCATAGCCAGTGCAACAGCAAGGAAGTCTACATTAACAAAGTAAAGCAAGAGCAGAGGATATCTTCCTCATTAAAAATTTCCAGTCAAAATTGAATGATCTTTCAGTAGCACACAACATAGTTTAATACCTAGTAAGAGTGACTAGTTTCTATAGCACATCCATTGTGCTATACAAATTGTTATGGTTTAAGGGTTAACAGCCTGAAAGGGAAGGACAGGTGGTATCTGTAGAACCCTGGGGGGTCCAAGATCAGTACTGTTCCCTCCCCTTTTTGGCCACGGTCTAGAAAAAAAATGAGGAGGCCCGAGGTTTTCGGGGGCTTCTCCTGGCTTCCTGGGCTGCTTCCTGTCATATCTTGGAATGGCTGGGCCTACCTCCACCACCACCCGCTCCCCAGCACCACTGCAGTCCCTGGTGACGAGTCACAGTGGTCACAGCAGCCACAAGGCACTGCTCTGACACATCCACTCAGGACTACTGGGATTGGGTTTTGTATATACTTAAATATCTTTTGTCCCTTATTAATTCCCTTTTCCTTTCCCCTGTTGTTTTTCATTAAACTCGTTGCAGTCTTAACTTCAACCTTGTGTGAAGCATCTTTTTCTCTATTCCCTTTTTTTTGTAATCCTCCCCTGGGAGGGTAGGGGACAATAGAGAGAAAATCCTGCTCCCTGGGCTTGGCCAGAGCCTTAAACAGAGACAAAACACAGCTTTAATAGCATGTAGTGTATAAGTCAAAAGGAACAACTAAAGCTGTGTTTGCCTAGTTTTATGCTTGCATACATATTCTTTGTAAGCTTTCAGCATTGTGTTTCTTGGAGTCAAGAAGCCTAGAACTCAGTCACTTAGAAATCACATACTCAGAAGTAGTAAGAAAATAGAGTTTATTTACAGATTATTATGGAAAAAATGTTAACAATGTCAAAAGAAAGCAGTTGGACAGCAACTTTATATTATATATATATATTCCAGATAGAAACTCAGGCATTTTAATGAACATTTTGCTGTTGCTAACCCAGCTATCCTATAACTATTGACAATTTTCTACAAATACTAAGAAGTTAACTTATGCCATTAAGATAACATGTAAAAATATTTTTTAAATGGTTTCATACTTGCTCATTCCTAAGTGTATCTACAATCAAAATCCCCAACTAAGGCACTAGCCCAGATTATGTGCACATTAAAATCAAGCCATTTTAAACATCCACAGTTCCCATTAATATACCAAGTTACTTGTTTTCTTCCACTAGTCTCAGTTACTACTTTATAAGCAGGGTGAAATGGGGCTCACAGTCAGCCCAGATCAGCTCATTTTTCCTGTTTGCTTTTCTAAATCAGAGTATTCCACCTTGTTTCACTTAAGTTATAAATTCATTATTTAAAATTAGACTGCAAAATTAAGTGTCATGTTTTTGATACAATAGAATAATAAAAGGTATGTTTAGCAAACTAAAGAACACTACACATTCACAAATATTTTAACTTGTTCAAGAATTGAATATTATCTTTTCTGTTTAGGCAATGGTGTACAAAAACTTCGGGACAAGCATTGTAACAGTGATTATTCTTATTAGCTTCTTTCAAAAGCCCCCGATTTGCTCATGGTTTATATGTGTACAGCAGATGGTGTTTCTGAATCCGTTTGTGACAAGGCTGCCTTTGCTAGTGGAGGCTTATACAAACATACTGCTATGACCACAAAGATGATCGTGATGATTTTGCAAGCAGCACCTGAATGCAAAGAACAAAAAGGTCTTTGTTGCAGTCACCTTCAATAGTATACAACAGTATTTCAGCAATTTATAAAGTTTCACACGGTGAGTTACAGAGTATGACTTAAATGGATGCTGTGAATTTCATTGTATTTTATATGAACTGCAAAGGGCAGATAAAGGCAGTCTTCCAACTGACTTGAGACCTCTCACCTGCCCACCAGTTCTTGCTTGCAGCAGCCATTGCCATTGCTTCAGTTCTGTATTTCTTTACCCCATTCTAGCCTGAAATGCAGGACTTCTTTATTTCTTGTTTCAGTACTGTTCTTCATTGCATCAAGATTCTCTTTGTGACAAACTAAAACTCCTCACATACAAACCTGTTAAGTATTCTCTCCTCAGGTACCTTAAAAGGTTGTTACATTTACTCATCACTGGTACATAGTGGTTTTCCTGCAACTAAAGGGGAGAGGCGAGTAGGAGGCAGGGGAGGGTAGTGCAAGGAGAGGGGGGAAACAAGGAGGATTTGTATTTTATCACAAATACGCCCAAGAAATACTGAAACGTGAAGTTGTGAGTCTCATTTTTTCAATTTCAAGATTAGACATTAGCAGTCCAGTTTATTCACAGTAAATATGTATCACAGTTGCAAGCTTATCCTGCCCTCCTTCCTCCAGACATACATACCTCACACACTGGGAGAAAAGATAGTTTAAAAAGTTGAGAAAGGTTTTGACTAGCATTCAGATAATTTCAAGACCTGAACATTAATTTAGGGAAAAACTGAAATATGAGAAGAGCAATAAAGCTCCTCAGACCTTAAGCTGCCAACAGACCAAGACAGATAAAACTGAAATGTGTGCTAGAATTAAGTAATTAGTGTGTGGCAATGAAGAAAGACCAAAGAGCAAAACTAATTTGTAATATTGTTATTTTAAAAAGTTTCCTAGGTAATTTTTAAGCAAAACCACATTAAGTGGCTCTACTCTTTCCATATTTTGCTTTTATTTATGAATAAAATGAAGTTTGTAGATTTTTTTTAAAAAATAATGCTGCTAAAAACAGTTTAAGATTCTATTTTAAAATAATTCCCATCTAGCAGTCAAGGTCAGTGTATCTGTTACTTTGTACACCTACTTAATATGAAGAAGTCACTTACTTATGCCCATCAGCAGATAAGCCATTCTTTCATTGTCATAAACCCAACAGGCTCCTTTAGTTTTACATTCATTAATATCCCACAGAGTACAACTGCTGTCTATAGCAACACCAAACAAAATTGGTCCAGGAATAGTACCTAAAACACAGCAACATGTTAGAATGTTTGAGTAGTAAAAGCATTAGAATAGTCCTATCTTGTCTTAATGTATACAGCAAAATGTCAGGATGGTGAGGAAGATAAAATAGGATAGCCACACACTAAACATAACATTTTAATCAAAGTCATAGGGCTCATATTACATAGCAAGTATGCACCTTCTATTGCTCTCAATTAAGAGGTATAATGTTTAATGTGTTAATTCTTTATACAGCTCTCACTTTATCAAGCAGAAGGTTTTTTCAAAGACTTCTTGTAACTTCCTCAGTTTTCATGGGAAAAGAAAAATAGGATTAAAATTAGGGGAGGAAACAGCTGATCAAGGAAGCAGGATTTTAACTGAAAGAAAAGAGTCCCTTTCCTCAGATCATATATGCTAACCTGTTCCAAATGCAGAGAACTAGAATATTACGTTAACATGTCAAATTATACTTTTTTTCCATCACTCAGCTGTAGTAAGCTTCTTACAAAAATTTCAGGTGAAATGAGTACTGTTTAAAATTATTCCTGTGTAGAATTTGTTAAATCTGTGTTATTTCGATACAATAGTGTTTAACAAAGCACAAGTGTTTTGTATCCAGGTGTGGCAAATTTTATAACATCCTAGGTATATCACTGCATGTCAACTTAACCCACTCCAGGCCTAAACAAGCAGCTGTGTCCTCACTACAGATTTTCTGTCTAGAACTCCTGTGTGATTCATCAAGTCTCCAGCATAAATATCTTGTTGGTAGCAATGCTGTTAGCTGCTGCCTTCCTCAGCCAGAGTCACTAAAGGCAGTGCAAAAAGTTCTTCTACTTTTGCTTCACAATGAAGTCAAGAGTTAAGACTCTGCCATAGACATCTTAACTTTGATTAAAATGAAACAGAAGCGCTCATACAATACTTAACACTACCTCCCAGCTAATTTCTACTGGTAAGGATGTTTACTCTTGTTATGCTTTACTGGTAGAATGACTTTGCTTAATTGGAGTCTCAATAGGTACAGAGCAGAGCTCACACTGTCGGAATATTTGATCTTAAATGGCAGGGAATGGCTGCAGTACTAAATATTGACAAAGTCTACTCAGTAGCTGAGCATTGAGCCAGTCTTGAATTACACATACCATTTAAAATGTGTCAAGGAAAAAACCAAGAGTTTAAAATATGCTTGAGGAAATTCAAATTAATACTGAATATTGAAAGAATACCCACATTTGGCTTCATGTTTTATTTAAGGCTATTCACCTGTCTTAATGAGATCCTGAGGATGCTTAGATTTAGAATTTAAGTAGAATGCCCACATAAAATCTCAGCAATTATTTATGTACAAGTGCCAACAATTTCAACAAAGGCTAAAATTAGTCCCTTTCCCCTTGAAAGGGAAGGGAGAAGAGGGAAGACTCTACCTATCCACTTTAAAATGTACTGGCATGGTCACTTTCTTTTAAATTCCAGAACTTGAGATATTAACTACATGAAGTTGTCTTCTATTACACCCTTTTTTCTTATGTCAACTTTCACAATAGGCCTCCTTCTGGAGGAAGTGACAACTCATGCCTTTTGCTGAAAGAATGACAGTTACCTGTATTTTGTTCATGATGAAATCAACAAAGGTTAAAATGAGCATGTATGCCTCATTTAAAGAGGAATTTGAATCCAGATGGCATCTGCCTTATACCAAATGTACTCTCTAAGCCAGTGATGGGCTGCTTCAAGCTCCTCAGAAAGCTTCTTAATGCATTAGTTTTAAGTCTAGAAAAAGGTTAAATAAGTAGATTATTCAGAGGCAAGTATTTCAACAAGGAAGTCATACCTAGTAGTCGTAGAAACACTGACTGTACTCCAAGAGCAAATGAACGCTGTTTATCTGGCACACACCTGTAAATAAGATTTGCAGTTTAAGACTTGGCAAACAAGTTTTAACTGTTCCATTTTTCTGCTTTGCCCATTAGTGAATATGCTTTACCTTAATATACTTTTTTAACCTGTTAATTGCAAAAAGTTTTAGATACCCACTGTGCAGGACAAATAACCAAAGAACTTTAAGAGATGTTTTGACAAAAGATAAAAGCAACTCCTATAGCACCTCAAGGAATTTTCAGTCGGACTTTAGTTTAACAAAACAGTGTAAGTAAAAAGCTATCTTACCAGGAGCAACCTGATATGTTGAACATTTTTGCCACAGAACCACCAAGTATTTACGAATAATGTTAGAATGCAATCCTGAGGTACTAATCCTAGAGAAGCATTACATTAATTTAAACTATGCTTCAGCACAACACAGGTGGTTTTTTTCCCCCCCTAACCTTTACATATAGTCACCTGACCTTACATTTAATCAGTTTTTCCCTATGCTATACAAATCAACATACTGATTTAACTAGCAGAATTTACCTCCTTACCCTATACCCATTTCTTTCAGATACTTCTCTAGCAACAAACATTTTATCCTTACAGTGTCTTAAGGATACTACCATAAAGGTTAAATGCAACTTAACTTACTTAATTCATACAACTCTGTTTCATCACTGTTTTCTTTAATAAACTGCATCTGTGAAGCACTGTCAGTGCTAAAAAAGACAGTATTTAATATTCAGGAGTTATTCCCTCATTCTGGAGTATGAATGAGGATTAGCCATAGAAAAGCATCCAAGATGAGCAGTTATCAGCAGTTACTGTTAGTATTCTCCAACCATAAAGACAAGTAGAGGAAGGAAAATGAGTTTTGCATACTGTGGGTGGTTATTTCTGGCACTAGAACACTGTTACAAACACATGGGCTTACACTTGCAGTTGCACAAAGTAGGCCCGTTGAAAAGATATCAGAATACGCTGTAGTGACGTACCTCACATTTAGCTATTTAAATTAGTTTTTGCACATTTAAACTCCTTTACAATCCTTTCTTCCATAAAAACAGTAAGTGGTTTCACCATTTCAGTTGAAGTGTAGAAGGATTCAGAATTCCAAATGTTAATGCTTAGAATTATCTAAATAAAACTATGTCAGCTCAGTTCTGCAGATAGTGCAACACTTAACATTACTCTATCCCCACCCTAATATGTCAAGATTCCAGATTTACACCAACCCTGAACAGGAGGCTACCACAAAGCACTGTTGCAGTATACCACTAGCCTCCCCAATCACCTGACTAGAAAGCTGGAAAAAAGAGCATGTAACCACACCTTCCCAAAGCATCGTGTGTATAGCACATGTATGCCTATGCATCATTAATATTTTCTCCCAAGGTATTAGATGTACAAGTCAGATTTCAACATAAAGTGAAACAGCTCCACATTCAGTATGAGGACCACATAATTTAAAAAAATCCTCTAGTTTTCATGCATATGAGTTTCAGCAATTTAAAAGACAGTCAAACTACTGGCAAACAGCCACATACATGCTGTCACTTGACTACCATACATACAACATCAATATAATACGAAAAGTAGTCTACAGTTATTAACAGACTGCAATTTTATAAATCAGAACTCTGAACCGAAACGGGAATCAAAAGCTGAGAATGAGACCGATTGCTGTTTTGTTCTTTTCTTGGTACAATTTTAAATCCTGGCAAGGGATTCAAGCACATGGCACATTTATTCCTTCTTGCTTTGACTAAAATAATCAGGAATGCTCCCACAAAAGAGGGATTTTGCTACAAGTAGGAAAGACTATTTTTTTTAAATAGATTGAAACAGTATCTACTAATCAAATTGTAATTACAGAGATAGCAAACAGTGGTACGATTGCTCTCCACTTAAGTACTGCTTACTTAATACACAGGGTACTACAACAGGAAATCCCTCGCACATTTGTTTAAGTCTACATGCCAAAACAAAACAAATTAGAGTATTTCACTGATCTGAGTTTTCACAAGAACGCCACCTACTTCTTAGCCCACAAAACATACCTGAGAATGGCCACAGTTGTTGGAGTAACAGCCATAAATGTGAAAACAACAGTAAAAAAGAAGAAGGTGAGGAATAAAGGTAAAAATGTGCATCGTGTTGGACATTTCCCAGAGACAGCTTGATAGAGAAAGTCTTCTGAACCATTTTCTCTTTTTGGTTTTCCAACACAGGAACAGTTGTGGTACGTCTACAAATAATTTATAAAACAAAATTTACCTCTAAGAATGATACTAAGTGACACTAATATGATAGATATTCATTGAGTCAGCATTACACTGAATACAAGAATAAATCCAGTACAATATGGAAACAGGCCATTACCTGATGATCATGACATCGTAACTCTCATTTTTAAACTGTTTCAGCAGAACTTGGCTGATCCCGCTCACCTGAGCAAAAGTTATTGGTGGTGGTGTGATCTAAAAAGACAGTGGGGTTGTGATCTAAAAAGATCTTGTTCAAAACAAGATTTTATATATCGATATATAGATTAAAAAATTGAAAATATTAAACTTTTAAACGAATCACCTATTTGAAAGCATTAAACACCATGGAGGTTGGAGGAAGGGAGGAAATATCCTTTTTCTCTCTCTCTGAGACTGATGACGCTTGCAAAGTGTAACTTCTGAACAAAAGGTAGCAAAAAGCTTCAGTTCCCTTATAGCAGGAGATAACTTAAATGATTCTCAAAAGTAATTTTTCCAATACTGAAGGAAGCTAACATTAACTGTTACCTAGTTTATTAAACAAAACTGTAAATTATTTCAGTATGATTAAAAAGTTATACTCCAAAGATCTTTAACTGCCTTGACTACTGAAAGCTGAACAGGGTTCATTCTTTAGATACACATCTACTTGCCCAACTATTTTGTCAGACCTTAATCTTCAAGCTTAGTTAATACATATCCAGTTACAACAGTAGCAGAACAAACTGGAAACCACAACAGTTCCCATTCTTCAGTGATGCTGGCAAGTCCCAGCTTGACAGTCTTGGCTATAGACAAGCTGGTTTTAACACTGAGCTGTACTTGACAGGAAGTGAGGTGACCTATGCTCTTAAGCAGGAAAGAACAGAAGCAATGTTGAACTGCTTCTGTAAGCAGGTGAACAAATAGAATAATTTTATGCTCTTCATTTAAATCCATCCAAGTTTGTTTTCGAGGAAAAAAAATATCAGTGAAGTGTGAAGTTTTCAGAGCAAGAAAAAGTCAGTCTCCTACATTTTCTTATACATAATGCCACCTCTCATTTGCCATTGACCTTTACTGTTATATAAAGTCTCCAGAGGCACCCCACAGTTCAACTTACCCACGTTTAGGATCTTTCTATACCCATCTCACATT